GCTTCCATTTTATAACACGTTATCAGCACGAATTTGCTCCAAATTCCAAAAATCTTCATCTTCCAAGCAGGTATATATTTTTACGAATTTATCAACTTATCTGGAAAAAAACAAAGGATGAGAAGTATAAACATGTTTATATATATATATATATATATATATATATATATATATATATATATATATATATATATATATTCAAAACTATAAGAAGTATGTTATGTGGTTGCCCAACCGTTGGGATCCTCCATATCAGAAAATTATAGCTATATTTTATATAAAATAGGTTGAAGAGGATAGAAGAAAGACATGCTTTTATACTAATATGCTCTTGAAATAATATCTGCTCTTCAATCTGAACTTTTGCTTCGGAAGAATATTTGATAGCATATATTAGAGATTTTCATTTATATATGAAATAAATCCGTATGAATATAAGAAGAGCATAAGCTTATCAAACTAATTCATTGATTATACATTTAAGTAGTTGGTAGTCGGGCCATACGCCCATACAAATTGATAAAGAGCATTTATTTTACTTGTCTTCTTCCTTTGTGAAGACACTCACATAATTAATGCCATCATATAATGAATACATACTCCGTACATGGGAGAATTGAAGATAATTGAGTATATGAAACCAAATTGGCATCTTATTTCTCTTCTTAACAAAATACTCTGTAAATTACAAAGTATACAAAGAGTAAAAATACTTGAATAACTATAATCTAATTATTATATTAAAAAGTCAATGTATGTGTCATTTCCATAACTTATAATACAGCTCTACTAATAATAAAATAAATGTGTACTTGTATAGTTTAATAGCTATATATGGCTAATACTCTGTAAATAAGTAATAACATGAAGATATTTACTACTCTATGTACTTGATTTGAGCCAACTCACGGGTGTGCGATTGTGATAACTCTGTACATGCATTCTGAAATTATGGGACAACTATATAGTACAGAAAACACCCATGCTAATCATATTATTATAGTGTTTATTATATAAACATATTATGTGTATCTAATCGTATTATCTATACAAAACATTAACTAATTAATTTTAAATTAATTATGATGTAGTTCATCCATGGCTAATATTAGCAAAAGAGAGTTCGATGTTCTTGATTTATCTGGTCAAAAGTACTTTGAATGGAAAGTGACGCTTTGGCACGTTTAAAAGCAAATGCCCTTGAAAACATAATTGCTGAAAATAATTCAGCTACTACCCAAAATAAGGCAAAAGCCATTATCTTTCTTCGTCACCATCTTCACGAAAGTTTGAAGTCTAAGTATTTATTGGTAGATGAACCTAAAGAATTATGGGATAATCTCCAAGAAAGGTATGACCATCAACAAAAGATCCTTTTACCAAAAGCTCAATATGACTGGATCAATTTACGATTCCGGGATTACAAATCTATAAGTGACTACAATTATGCCTTGTTCCAAATAACATCAAAACTGAAGTTATGCGGACAAAAGTCACTGATGCTGAAATGTTGGAAAAAACTTTGTCCACTATGCATCTTTCAAATATGCTTTTACAAGAGCAATATAGACAAAAGCACTTTCAAAAGTATTCTGATTTAATATCAGTATTACTACTTGCTGAGACGAATACTGACATTTCAATGAGAAACCACAATATGAGACCCACGGGTTGTAGCCCTTTTAGTTTTGGTCCACAAAATCATGGTTCAAAACATGAATCAAATGCAACCAATAGTGGTGCTCGTGGACATTTCAAACGTGGTCGTGGTATTTGTCGTTATAATGGACCTAGCCGGGGAAACAAACAAAGTAGTAGCTCTTACAAAGGCAAGGGAAAGCAAACCCCCCATCAAACAAGAGGCCCGATGAAATCTTCAGAAAAGGCTAAAGTCACTTGTTTTAAATGTGGCACGTCGGGACATTGGGCAAATAAGTGTCGCACACCTACACATTTGGTTGCCTTATATAAATCATCTCTAAAAGGAAAGAATGTGGAAACTAATTACGTCAACGAAAACGTTCCACCAATGCCCACATTTAATATGTCTGATTTCTATATGGATAATAATGAGATGAACATTGACATCGTCATGGGTGAAAAATAATAATAATAATAATGAAATTATCCTGTTATGTAATATATTATACAATAAAAGTTTGTTGTATTGTAATTTTTATTTGGTGTGCTTGTTTCGGTTGTAAAAGTTATGTACATTTTAATGAATAAATTCTTGTTTATATTGCAATATTGAACTAATATTTGTTCATTTTTATCTTTTTAAAGATATGGAGTTAACTGAAATTTCTCCAAATGGCTTTGAACAATGTTTAATAGATAGTGCCACAACGCACACCATTTTGAGACATAGAGATTATTTTTTCTCATATCACGTTAGTTGATGCTAATGTCAATACAATCTCAGGTGTTGCTAAACTCATTGAAGGTTCTGGAATAGCCTGTGTAATTCTCCCAAAAGGGACAAAATTAATAATTAAAGACACTTTATACTCCAGTAAATCACGGAGAAATCTTTTGAGTTTCAAAGATATGCGTCTAAATGGTTTTCACATTGAAACCATGTCTGAAAATCAAATGGAATATTTATGTCTAACGATAAATAGATCTGGCAATAAATACATTTTCAGAAAAAATGCCAGCATATTCCTCCAGACTATATTATACATATATCAGTCCAATTGAGATAAATGGGGTATCTAAAATTAATGACCACAATTCCTTTATCTTGTGGCATGACCGTTTAGGTCATCCATGCAGCACTATAACAACATCCAAGCCTTAATCCCAAAAGAATTTGGGGTCGGCTAACATGAATCGATCAATGATATCGATGCCAAACAGAAAAGATGGACAAGAAAGGGGAAAAAAAGATAAAATGAATAAAATAAAGATAAATACTCCGTAAAAGAAAACAATAACACAAGAATATAAGAAAGATAAAAGATAAAAAAAGCATAAAAAAAAGCTATATTATAAAAATAACATAAGAATAAACAAAGGTAAGGAATATAAACGATAAAAGAAAAATTCAGTTGGACATTCATTAAATAATGTCAAAATTCCACAATCAAGTGATTTCTCATGCACTGTCTGTTCTTTTGGCAAATTAATTATCAGGTCATCTTTATACAAAATTGGAGTTGAATCTCCTGCATTTTTAGAAAGAATTCAAGGAGATATTTGTGGGCCAATTGCCCCTCCGTGTGGACCCTTTCTATACTTTATGGTGCTCATTGATGCATCAACACGTTGGTCACACGTCAGTCTTTTATCGACTAGAAATTTTGCATTTGCAAATCTCCTTGCTCAAATTATTCGTTTGAGATCACAATTTCCGGATTATTTAACAAAGAAAATCCGACTTGATAATGAAGGGGAATTTACATCCCAATCTTTTAATGACTATTGAATGTCAATTGGGATTGATGTGGAACATCCAGTTCCACATGTGCATATACAAAATGGTCTTGCTGAATCCTTAATTAAGCGACTACAATTAATTGCTATACCATTATTGATGAAATCCAGATTGCCATCATCTGCATGTGGATATGCTATAATGTATGCTGCAAATTTAATTCGGCTCAGGCCAACTGCATATCATAAATTTTTCTCATTACAATTAATATCTGGTAAAGAACCAAATACATCACACATAAAATATTTGGTTGTTCTGTGTATGTACCAATTGCTCCACCTTATCGTACTAAAATGGGTCCTCAAAGAAGGTTGGGAATTTATGTTGGTTTTAAATCTCCCTCAATTATTAATTATCTAGAACCTATGACTGGTGACTTATTCACCGCACGGTTCGATGACTGTCATTTTGATGAAACAGTATTCCCAGCCTTAAGGGGAGATAATAAAGAAATGGACCCACGTGCGAAAGATATTACTTGGAATGCAACAGATTTATCTTTTCTTGATTCTCGCACAAATGCTTGTGAACAAGAAATTCAAAAGGTCATTCATTTACAAAGTGTTGCAAACCAATTGCCTGATGTTTTCACAGACTCAAAGAAAGTGACAAAGTCACATATTCCAGCTATGAATACTCCTTCTCGAATAGAAATTCCTGCGGAGATTAGCGAAAGAACTCTTGCTAATGAATCTATGATACGTGAAAAACGTGGTAGACCACTTGGTTCAAAAGATTTGAAACCAAGAAAATTTAAAAAGCAAGACGTAGTTTGTGATGCCAAAGAAGTTCAAACTTCTCAAGAAGAAAATGAACATTTTGAAAATATCGGCTTTGAAGATAACATCAATAATAATGATACCTCAAAAGAGGATCCAATCACCTTTGAAGGGGTAAATATTCCAGATAAAGATAGAAACGTCGATAATTTCGAAATTTCAATCAATTACGTTTCTAATGGAATACAATGGAATAGAAAAGATATTGATGTTAATGATATATTTTCATATACCATCGCCACAAATATAATGAATGAACACGATGACACTGAGCCTAATTCTATTGACGAATGTCGTCGTAGAAACGATTGGCCAAAATGGAATGAAGCGATTCAGGTAGAACTAAAATCGCTAGAAAAGCGTAATGTTTTTGGACCAATTGTCCACACGCCAAAAGGCGTAAAACCTGTAGGTTTTAAATGGGTGATTATGCGTAAACGCAATGAGAAAAATGAAATCGTTAGATATAAAGCCCGACTTGTTGCCCAAGGTTTTTCTCAAATGCCATGAATCGATTATGATGAGACGTATTCTCCAGTAGTGGATGCTACTACTTTACGATTTTTAATTGGCATGTCTGTTTTTGAAAGGCTGCAAATGCGGCTAATGGATGTAGTGACCGCATATTTATATGGTTCACTCGATACAGACATATATATGAGAATTCCTGGAGGCTTTAAAATACCTGATGCATATAGCTCGAAATCTCGAGATTTATTTTCCATAAAATTGCAAAAGTCATTATATGGATTAAAACAATCTGGACGCATGTGGTATAACCGTCTAAGTGAATATTTGATCAAAGAAGGACACAAAAATGATCCTATTAGTCCATGTGTTTTCATTCAGCGATCTGAATCAGGATTCGCCATAATTGCAGTATATGTTGATGATTTGAATATAATCGGAACTCCCAATGAAATTGAAAATACTGCTAAATATCTCATGAAAGAATTTGAAATGAAAGACCTTGGGAGAACAAAATTTTGTCTCGGCATTCAAATTGAACATTTGAGAAATGGTATTTTTATCCACCAATCAAATTATACCGAGAAACTTTTGAAGCAGTTTTACATGGAAAAAGCTCACCCACTCAATCCCCAATGGTGGTTCGATCTCTCAATATGCATGATGATCCTTTTCGACCTTGTGAAGATGATGAAGAAATATTTGGTCCCGAAATATCATATTTGAGTGTTATTGGAGTGTTAATGTATTTGGCTAATAATACACGACCATATATTGCTTTTTCTGTAAATTTATTAGCCAGATACAGTTCTTCTCTGACAAGAAGACATTGGAATGGCGTCAAACATATATTCCGCTATCTCAATGGTACAATCGATCTTGGATTGTATTTCAAGAGTGGTGCAAATGCCACTTTATTTGGCTATGCCGATGCAGGATACTTGTCTGATCCACAAAAGGCAAAATCACAAACAGGATATGTATTCACCTATGGTGATACCGCTATCTCATGGAGATCGATGAAGCAAACATTAACTCCCACATCATCAATCATGCAGAATTAATTGCTCTTTATGAAGCAGGTCGAGAATGTGTCTGGTTGAGATCAATGATCCGGCACATACAAAATGAATGCGGTATAAAATCTTTTACTTGTAATCCTACTGTGATTTATGAAGATAACACAGCATGTATAGCTCAGATCAAAGGATGTTACATCAAAAGGGGATAGAACAAAACATATAGCACCAAAATTTTTCTCCACACATGATCTTGAGAAAGAATTGAAGGAACAGTTGATGTCAAACAAATCAAGTCCTGCGACAACCCTGCCGATTTATTCACAAAGTCATTGGCACCGAAGAAATTTGAAGAACTGGTCCACAAAATTGGAATGTGTCGTCTTCGTGATATATGTTAAATTGAGGGGGAGTAATATAATGCACTGCACTCTTTTTCCCTTCGTCGGGTTTTTATCCCACTCGGTTTTTCCTGACAAAGGTTTTTAACGAGACAGTACATTATAATACTATGATACTAATACCCCAGAATAATTAGAAGATGACCATTCAAGGGGAGTGCTGAAATAAAGTTGAATTAGTCATCTTCTAACTATTCATGATTAGGAACACATTACCATCATTGTTAATATAAATAAGAAATCATAATTATGATTTCTAGATGGTAATTGTATGGCTCACAATTAGCCCTTAATCTAGAGAAGATTATATCTTCCCCTATAAATAGGAGTATTCTCCTTCATTAAAAAAAACCATTAGAACATCTCTAATACATCTCTATCACTAAGTGTTCATACTATATTTTCTCTCTCTGATCTTCTGCTTATTTGCCTCCATTTTATAACAATATCTAACTTTTTTTAGATTTATTTTTTTAAATAGGTATTATAGAACTTCTAATGTAGCTTCTAAATATGTATATTTTATTTACTAAATATAATTATACTAATGATAGGGATCAGTTAACTTTATTGTCAATCAAATGTCGTAAACCGCGTGGGAACCTTTAAATGGGACGGAGGAAATTATTAGTATTTGGATCATTACAACAATTCGCAAATCATTTACAAAATTGGACAACTTCGATGTTAGGGCATCATTTTTCAATGCGGGTAGTGATTACTTCGATGTTAGTCTGAGTTGTATCTCGAGCCGGTTGACGATTTTTTTTTAAAATTAATATATTCGATATTTTTCCTTTAAAGAAAACAATTACTAATATCCGTAATTTCAAGGTGTCCTATAGGCTAAGTTGTAACACATGATGCGGCTGAGCTTGTATAGGGTTTGTACGTCGTGCATTGATCTCAACTTCGCTACTTGCCGCCGGGTTGGTTCGGATCTGAACAGAGACGGCAAGTCCATAGGTTCTTCAGATCGCAGGTTTGCAGGGACTTTCAAAAACAAAAAAGTGTGTTTTTTTGAGTTGGTCTAATGAATTGGGTTTGGTGTGTAACACCACCCCCGAGTATTTGTACTGTACCAAATTATGTATTGAACCTTGAGAAAGTATTTTTACGTGATTGTAAATTGTTATCATTTCTATTACGTGAATAGTAAAATTCACGTGGGGCCCACACCGGATGTGGGGCCGCCCGATATTATCAGGACCACATATTATATTAATCTTGGACTAAATAATATGTATATGGTGGTGGATATCCTGATTGGGCCATGGCAATGGCACAGGGTTGATTGGTTGGCCAAGCGGGGCCAATTATCGGTAACGGCATTTTATCAGATAACAACCCAAAAAGGGATTTCCGGAGACTTCTAAATTAAAGTTGGGGAACACATATTGATTCTAAGGCCCAATAAGGATTGGGAACAAGTGTTATATTTTATTTGACCCGATAAAATAAAATATACTTAAAATAGTCCGGAAAATACAACTTTCGGGACCGATTGTACACTTCTGGACAAAAAGGGTTGACCTCCCACATGGGTGGGGCCAACCCACGAATTTAGTCACATTATTCAAGGATTGGGTCGGCCGGTATGTGAGGTGAGGTGGGAGAGGACTGATTTGAGATGTTTGGCATCAAAACAAATCATGGTGGCCCTCCTCTCTTTCACTCATTGTCCAAATAGAGACAAAGGGGCATTCCTACCCATCCCCCTCCTCACTAGTTCAGACAGCATCAAGGGAAAGGAGGAAAGAATCTCTACAACTTCATCTTTCATAGCAAAACTCGAGCAGAGCTCAAACAAGAAAGTTGGGAGGAAGTTAAAGAAGGAAAAAACTAAGAAAAAGTGTGAAAATTAAGGTAATGACCTTATCATAACTTTTCCTTTATTTTTCTTCTAGCATATAAGATATATATCATATGAAAGACTTTTAGTATTGCTGTACATGATTTAAGTGTGGAATAATGGGTTGGAAAGTGATTCTAAGTCCAAAAACGGACTTAGAAGCCAAAACGGCCGGTTCGCCGGAAAATAACCTTTTAGAGGTTATTTGTATTACTATGGGTTTTATGATGATAAAACCTTGTTAGTAACTTGTCTAAGGTATTCAAGGAACTTTCACGGAGTTGAAAAGGTCGCCGGAGTTGTCGCCGGAGTTCGTTGAAGTTCGTCGGAGTTTCGCCGGAGCTAAATCGGGAAGGCTAGAACTTCATAAGCTTCATTAAGGTGAGAAGACGGCTTTATGCTTTATAACTTTTGCGTGAGGCATGATATTACCTAAAGTAATCAAGGATATGTTTTATGAAATGAGTAAAGATAACCAAATGTTTGCTTATGCCATGATTATACATAAAACATAGTTGAAAAGCATGTTATGTAGGTTTGGTGGTTAAAAGTGTGATAACTTATTATGTGTAATGTTACAGGGATCCAAAATGGTATTTTTGGATCAAGGACGTCAAGAAGTATATGTGTATAAAATTTCACGTTAATCGGACTCCGTTTGGGTGGTCAAACGGGCGTTGACCGACAGGTCAACTGTCATACACGACCGGGTATTGACACATACCCGACCGGGTATTTGTTGAAAATTGGATTTGTGGACTACTGTCTCCTGTACTCGACCGAGCATGGGTTGATACTCGATCGAGTATTGGGTTACGCTCAAAACGGGCAGTTTTGAGCGGGTTAATGTGGGCCATTCGGGTTGGACCCGCCCACGTTGGTTCCTAAGGTTGGTTATATGACTATAGGGCTAGGTATTGTCCATAGTGGAAGGAACGAAAGGTTAGCCATATCCAGGTTAGGGTTTGGTAAGGATTTAGTTTGGGGTTGAGTATCCCCGGGGCATTAAATGTTCCTGAAACTCGGTTGGGGTTGAGCATCCCCGGGACTATAAATGATCCTAAAACTCGGTTGGGATTGAGCATCCCCGGGACATTAAATGATCCTGAAACTCGGTTGGGGTTGAGCATCCCCGGGACTATAAATGATCCTGAAACTCGGTTGGGGTTGAGTATCCCCGGGACTCTAAATGATCCTGAAACTCGATTGGAGTTGAGTATCTCCGGGACTGCAAATGATCCTGAAACTCGGTTAGGGTTGAGTATCCCCGGGACATTAAATGATCTTGAAACTCGGTTGGGGTTGAGCATCCCCGGGATGTTAAACGCTCCCAAAACTCGGTAGGATATTATGAATGTAGAATGTAGCTGGTGAGCTAGGTAACCGGGAAAGGAGTGAGAAAAGTCAGGTAAGAACTTTATCTCTAAAAGACTCTTTAAGGTAAATGACCTACGGGTTGAGTATTTTACGAGTATATATACAGTATGTATCATCAGGTGGATGAGAGACATCTATATATATGTATCACCCTATTTTTGGGTCTCGTGTCTGAAACATTAGTTATCCTTCATATAGCCTGCTTGTCACTAGTACTTCTATGGAGTACTGACCCCTCCGGGGGCCCTCACATTTTTCAGGTTGAGGCCAGAGTCCTACTACCTGCACCTTTGCCTAGGGTGATCCTTCGAGGAGGAAGATGTGGTTCGTGTTTCCATTCGTATTTTTGAAATCTATAAACTGCTCATGGATTTTTGAACAATGTTTTCATTAAAACAGTTGGGGGCCTGAGTGCCCGTGTTTGCCACGTGTGGCTAAGTATCAAACATATTATTATTTACGCATTTGTTTGATTATGATATTGATGTTGATTGTATGTGTTTACTAATCAGTTTGGCAATAGAATCAATCGGACGCCTTGTACAATTCAATAGGGATGAACTGTTGTCGTTCTTATCGGGTTGTACGGCGGTTGTCTACGTGGCTCGGATGCGGTCCGGGCCGTGACATGGTGTTTGATTAGTACGCAATCATGATTTCTCAATTGATGCCATGGAATTCTGTCTCCTAAACGGATTGGTTTCCAAGGTCGGTTTTCATGTACGTAAGTGTTGAAATGATCAGGACAGTGCAATTAAGTTTGTGCATTTGAGACTCTAGTCTTCTCCCCAGCGTTCATCTAGGGTTTGTCCGGCAGGTGGCAGACGTCGTTTCTGGTCCGACAAATGATTTAGAGCGACAGTGGGATGACGGTTGTTACCGCGCTCTGCTTTCCATTGCCTGCTTCTCTATGGTTTATGCTTCTGAACACGCCGATGTGCATTGAATTTTGAGGATTGTGATTGATA